CTTGTACATGCCCTTTTTTCATTTTGTTTAACAGCAAGCGGATGCGGTTCAGTACATCTGGGGGTAGGGGGTTTATTAGAGAGGATCAAATTGGGGCGCGGGGACAATCTTTCGGACAGAAGTACTGCGCGTGATACAGCCACCTTTTGCCCTCGATGCATTTTATCATGTCCTTGAAATATTTATAGACTGGCGGGTTTAACGGCGGGCTTGGGGGTTCAATACCTAATTCTGTCGTGTGCATGGCAAGGTTTCTTGTTTTTGTAAAGCTGTTTCAAATAATGAAGGTCATTATTTTGACTATACTTGGAAGAGGTCAGGTTATGCATTCTGTTTGTGATTTATCTATATATGTTATCTGGTGAAGAATACACAGTAAAGTCATTAAGCCTTGTGAGCTCGATAATTCCGATTCGGGGCAGTCAGGGGCCACGAGGCTCCGAAACATGAACTCAATCATCATCCTCTCTGCTCTTTGTTAGTCCTCCAAGCCTCATCCCCACTCCTCCAATCATACTGCATTCAGAACCATACTAAGAAGACTATAACTTTGAGTTTAACTAAACAGACCAATTTATTACACGCTATTGTTACCGACCAACGCCCATGCTGACGACGAGAGCTTGAGAAAGTGGAACTTAGACATAGCACCCACAACCGGCTCCAAAGCCAGGACTCTAGATAACCATTACAGACCGAAACTCCAGTGAAGAGCAAGAAGAACAGAGCAAGAGCACCGCCCTTGAGCAATTCCACGACACCCATGAAACTCCGTTTCCCCAATGCAAACAAAAAGGAAACACCGCCTTCCCCTCCACTCCCACTACGTCGTTCCCTAACACAGGTTGAGGTGGTGAAAATGACACCGGGCCCTTGAGGTGGTTGGTTTGCATTCAGAAACTACTGTTCTCCGAGTAATCGCGCTGTGATGTCGCCCATATAAGCCTCCTCCAGAACGTAATCCTCGCCACCATTACGGTCGATGCCAACGAAAGTGAAGGCTTCCACTACGGCATCGAGGTCGAAGCCCATGTGGACGAATCGGTCGATGAGGTCTTTGTTGTAGCCTTGGTACCTGTGATCCACGAGCAAGTTAAGCTGTTGTCAGTCGTCCTCTTTTTTTGAAAGCTTCAAGAAAGCAAAGAAAATGGAGGGGCAATACCTTTCAGTGTCATCAGCCCTCGGAGGGGGAGGGTTGATCTTCTGATAGTTGTGCGGTGGCTGGTCCCGCCTAGGTGCGCCGGCATACTTGACGGCCCACTCGTGAGCCTGTTGGGCGAACTTGTCTGGGTGCTCGAGCATCATCTTAGCCACCTCGGCATCCTGAGGGTCCTTCGGGTTAGGAGATTCGAGAAGCATTCTGAGGGAGATGAGGGCCATCTTGATGGTGCCGACGGGAGACCATCCTGAGCCTAGGGTGTCGAGGCAGATGGCGCCCTGTTTGGAGGTTGCAAAAGTTAGCAGACGGTCTCACATGCAGACGGTTCGGCCCTTTTGCTGTCTGATGCTATTCGGGGTGTATTGTCCCATTTTGCCGATATCTGAGCCCCCCTCCTCCCAACAAGTTTCCGATTTGACGTACCGTAACACTGCTGACATTTGGGTGCCAGATCCTAGTGTCAAACTTCATAATTGGCGACTTGAATGGGTAGTTTTCGGGTATCACGATGTCAACCTGAAATGAACCGCCGGCGTAGGGGGTGTCGGGAGGGCCGGGGAACGTGCCCTTCAGGTGCAAGAGGCTGTTGTCGACCAGCTGGGCACTGACGCCGGCGTTGGGATCATTTTGAAGGTCTCCGAGCTCCTTCGCAACTCGCCGCTCGCGTGTCGAAGCCATGGTTGGTGTGGTTGTGTCAGGCGTAGATTTGAAGTTCGTTGTGCTCGTTGGGGATGGAGTAAGGAAGATCGTGCGTGGAGCAGATAGGTTAATTTATGGTGCAAGTCGGCAGAGATGGGTCTCCAACTTTGTTACAGAAGGTCGAAGGTTCTGGCGGGGAATCGGCAGAGTTGACATGTGTTGTCGTCTGGAGAAAAGGTTTTGGGGGGAGCCAACGAGATCAGAGACCCGACTTTGGAGGGGTAGCTAGCAAACGCAAGGGCCTTGGAGAGCAAAGGTGGCATGCGGCTCCCGTGGCTCTGGTCGTGGGCCAGCCGATGTGAAATCAATCTGAGCGTGTGGCGGAAGCGGAGACAAGAGACTTTGTGAAGAGAACAACGCCGATTTCGAGAAGAAACGGATGAAGAACAAGCAGTGGTAACACCGGCCTGCATATATTGTATGCAGCTCACTACGTGGGCTTTCTTGGGGAAACACAGGGAACGTTGGAAGATGCCCAGGCAAGGTTGATAACAAAGCCTTCCTCAGTTCCGCAGCAAGCGCTGGGCACTTTCAGGGTTCTTCGTATCCTGGCAGCAGCTTCTCGTTGGTCTTGTGCTGCTGTTTCACAAGCCGTACAAAGTCACAACTTGAGAAGTGACGTTCAATGAGGACGGGAGGAATGTGACCGATTCCAGGGCTGCGTTGTCTTCCACCATCAACCCATGCCCCTCCTACAAGTCGGCTTTTAAGCGGGTCTGAGCACTGGTAAAGCTTCCATTGGCCGATATTGCAGCCTGCGTAATCTGGTCCGTGCGGCCCGGGGCCCAGATGTCGCGTCGCTCTGCCGCCTGGTGTGGCCCGGCTGGCAAGGCGATTCCCAACACAGCTGCCAGCTTCCAGCAGCTTCAACTACAGCATCACAGGTCAGCAAGGGGAATTAGCCACAAACCTCGCAGCCCAATTCATTTTCATTCTGATCATCACCAGCTTCGAAACCGCAACCACCGGTCAAACAGCTGACCCCGAACACATCTCAACACATCCACAGCTCCGGCCTGTGGTCCCACCATCACAATGGTCAGTCTCATCGGCTCTCGAGGCTCGAGTCGCTCGACTATTTGCTAACTTCCCACAGGGTCAAAACCAGTCGGGTATGGGTGGTGGAGGTCATGATGGCAAAGATGACAAGGACAAGAAGGTTTGTGATTTGCATTTAACGATCCGTTGCCACCGGCCTTGACGTTGCTGACGATGATATCGCAACAGAAGGAGAAGCACAAGCACGAACCTCCCCCGAGACCTACCACTCGTATCGGTCGCAAGAAGAAGAGAGCTGGCGGTGCCAGCGCTGCCGCCAAACTGCCCCCCGTCTACCCGACCAGTCGATGCAAGCTGAGACTGCTGCGCATGCAGCGTGTCCACGACCACCTGTTGCTTGAGGAGGAATACGTTGAGAACCAGGAGCGCTTGCGCAAGGCGAAGGCTGCCAAGGATAACGCCGCTCCTACCACATCAGAGGCCGAGGCTGCTGATCGCAATGCCGATGAGCGCGGCCGTGTGGATGACATGCGTGGTAGCCCAATGGGAGTGGGAACCCTTGAAGAGATGATTGACGACGACCACGCCATTGTGTCTAGCACGACAGGCCCTGAGTACTATGTCAGCATCATGAGTTTCGTCGACAAGGATCTTCTCGAGCCCGGCGCCAGTGTCCTGCTCCACCACAAGACAGTCAGCATTGTTGGCGTTCTCACAGACGATGCAGACCCCATAGTCAGTGTCATGAAGCTTGACAAGGCTCCCACGGAGTCGTATGCGGATATTGGTGGTTTGGAGCAGCAAATCCAAGAAGTGAGGGAATCTGTAGAGTTGCCACTGCTCCATCCGGAGCTGTACGAGGAGATGGGCATCAAGCCTCCCAAGGGTGTCATTCTCTACGGTGCCCCCGGTACCGGCAAAACGCTGCTGGCAAAGGCTGTTGCCAATCAAACATCAGCCACTTTCCTACGCATTGTCGGTAGTGAGTTGATTCAAAAGTATCTCGGTGACGGTCCCCGGTTGGTTCGTCAGCTCTTCCAGGTAAGCATTCTCCAGCTCAAGGTATCCGGGTACTTGCTGACATGACATACAAGGTTGCTGCCGAGAACGCTCCCTCGATTGTCTTTATCGACGAGATTGATGCTATTGGCACCAAGCGGTACGATTCGACGTCCGGTGGTGAACGCGAAGTTCAAAGAACTATGCTGGAACTTCTCAACCAGCTTGACGGTTTCGATGACCGCGGTGACGTCAAGGTGATCATGGCTACCAACAAGATCGAGTCTCTCGATCCCGCCCTGATCCGTCCCGGTCGTATCGACCGAAAGATTCTATTCGAGAACCCCGACCAGAACACCAAGCGCAAGATCTTTACGCTCCATACTAGCAAGATGTCACTTAATGAGGACGTCGATCTCGAGGAGTTTATCGCGCAGAAGGATGATCTGTCGGGTGCTGACATCAAGGCCATCTGCTCCGAAGCTGGTCTGATGGCTCTCCGTGAGCGCAGAATGCGAGTACAAATGGCCGACTTCCGCGCTGCCCGCGAGAGAGTGTTGCGCACGAAGCAAGAGGGCGAGCCGGAGGGCTTGTACTTGTAGTTGGCTTATTTGTATGATGAGACGTAATTATGGCCAGCAAGCTTAAAGCGCAACGAGGATGACACATAGATAACTTGCTAGTTGCGTTGTTCACTCAAATCAGCGTTTCTTCTGCAGAGGTGATATCCCCAGCTATGTGTAACAATTGTTCTCGTGAACAGAAGACTACGGAGCAGTAAGTTTTGCCGATCCATGAACTCAACTAGTTGAACATGGAACGGAGGAGTGTCATGTAAACTAAGACAATCTTACTTCTGCCCAGGGCCGATTGCGAAGATGATGCGGTACAGACAGAGGTCAAACCCCTGATAGGACTCCAGACCCCTTACGGAGTATCGCTTGGCTTTCCCATCTGCTGCAAGTGGGGCATGATGTCATCTGCACCAGACCTCCCAATGACTTTTGAGACATAAGACAACACTACACCACGGGCCAGGGGTGAGCAGTGATAGAGCCCAATATGTCAACAATAAGCACTCTTCATCATGTACAAAAATATTAACCAAAAAAAGCCTGATGTAGGTAGGTAAGGCAAAAGATAGTGGGAACTGTGAGGCTCGAACTCACGACCTCAGGATAACTCTGATGTTAGACATTCAGATCATACTACCAAGTATGAGACCTGCGCTCTTCCAACTGAGCCAAGCTCCCTGTTTTATTCGCTAATGGTTAAGCATGAGCATGAAAATAACACCTAACTCTGCCACTTCTACACTAGATGATAAGAGTTTTCTTGATACAATGGTCAGACATGTCTACCCTGCATCTCAACAAGAAAAGAAGGACTACATCTTACCTACCCAAAGAAGAGTGGAATTTGGAAATTCGGTTGACAGAAATGGGAATAAGATAGTGTTCTTGATGTGTGTGATCCTTACTTGTGATTTCATATCTCAAAAAAGTAGACTTGGTATCGCATTTAAAAATCTAATGGAGCTCTCTGAAATACAATTCAAGACTGAGATCAAGATCTCAGGTAGGGTGAAGTGCACACAAGCTTTCACCAAAGACCACCGACCTCCGCCAAGTTTGTGGGAGGATCACCAGATGGACACCAAACGGGCAGGTCGTAGCGATTCCATGACTCAAGAGTGACTAATTTTCATGGGCCAACCCCCAAGGTTTTGACAACTCGTCGTGGCGCTGATAGGTTCGAATGGCAGATAAGCCGGAACCTAATGCAAGTGGAACGTGGATAATGGATCTCCTATCGCATCTCCGAATCCCCCTCCCGCATCGTGAGTTAACCGGCCGTGAGGTTTTATATCGATGTTTGTTGCTTCACTGGCCGCAATCCAGCCTCTCCAAGTAAACTCTTTAGCATCGCAAAGTTAAGTTTGGTGGCCAAGATGTTTACTACCGTAGCTGGTACTGTGTTGGGCCTGTTGGCTGGGGGAGCCATGGCAGAGACGGTTCACGGAGTTGTTGTCTTCAGTCGTCATGGAGATAGTGAGCACAGCCCCTCGAGAGGTCATGCTTTTTGTATTGATAGCATACTGACACTTTTTTCAGGAACAACGAAGCACTACGGTGCGCAGCAACTGACCAACCTCGGCGCATCACAAAACTTTCAAGTCGGCAGTGACTACCGCGCCCGGTACATCGAGGCCGACTCACCCCATCGCATCCTCAACATCTCAGAATTCAACTACATCCCATCACAAGTCTACGCCAGCGCTCCCAACCAAGGTATCCTCCTCAACACTGCCACTGCATTCCTCCAAGGCTTGTACCCACCACTCGTTGATCTCAACTCTGAAATCGCCAGCCAAACCCTCAACAACGGCAGTGAATCCACCTCCCCCCTCAACGGCTACCAATATGTAACGCTCCAAGGTGTCTCCTCCAACTCCCCGGATGCAATCTGGATCAAGGGTGACGATGGCTGTCCCGCCGTGACCGAAGCCAGCTCGTCCTTCGAAACCAGCACCGAGTTCACCACCAAGCTCTCTTCCACCAAGGACTTTTACAAAAGCCTCTTCCCCGTCCTAAAATCAGTCTACGACATTAAATCCCCCTCAGACCTCAGCTACGCCAAATCTTACGACATCTACGACCTCATCAACGTAGCCCGTCTCCACAACGCCTCCTCCCCCGCCCAAGACATTTCCGACGACCAACTCTTCCAGCTCCGCACCCTGGCCGACAGCGCCGAATTCGGCTACAACTTCAACGCCTCCCAACCAGCCCGCTCCATCCACGCCCAAACTCTTTCCGCTGCCGTCCTCAACCAACTGAACAAAACTGTCACCTCAGAAGGAAAACTGAAACTCTCCCTCCTCGCCGGGAGCTACGACGCCTTCCTCGCCTTCTTCGGCCTGACCGATCTGACATCCGTCAGCCCCAACTTCTACGGCCTGCCCGGCTATGCATCCACCATGGTCTTTGAGCTGTACACCCCCGAGACGACCACCTCCTTTCCAGCAGAGGATGCTCTGCGCGTCCGCTTCCTTTTCAAGAACGGCACCACCGGAAGCTTGGATGCCTTCCCTTTGTTCGGCACCAAGGCTGATTCCCTTTCTTGGAACGAGTTTGCCAGCCAGATGAGCAAACGCGCGATTGGGACGGCGGAGGAATGGTGCTCTGTTTGTGCGAGCACCGCTGGCTTTTGCGCTGCTTATGCTAACCGGGATGGTGTTGCTGCTGCTGGTGCTGGGTCGGCTAAGGGGGCCATGTCGAATGCGGTGGCTGGGGTTGTCGGTGCGGTGGTGACGTTGGGTGTGGTTGGGATTGTGGGATTGGTGGTGTTTTTGTTTGTTAGTAGGAGGCGGAAGGCGGGGAATAAAAGTGTGGTCATGATGATGGCCGATGAGAAGAGTGTGAGGAGTGTTAGTACTGGGGCTGGGAAGGTGTGAGGATATGGTGTATCCAGATGTACCATGCAAGAACGCGTAACGAAGTGAATGAATGATGAGACCCTCTCGTTGAATTGGTTGTCCCGCGAAATATAAGTCTCATCTCTTGTCCGTTTTGAGTTTCTCATTGTTCAAAATTAGGATTTGAATGGTTACCTGGTAGGTAGGTAATCTTAAGAAAAGGTCTATAACGTCAAAACTCAGAATGTTTCATTGTAGTTTCCACACCCCCTGGCCATATACCTTACTACACTAGGTATAAGAAGATCAATAAGGAAAAGGATAAGAACATGATGATAGACTCCCATGCCCCAAGAAAGTATCAAATTGGTGAAACAGAATAAAGTATAAGGTAGAGAAGTTTAAAAACAAAATCTCTTCTATATTTGCTCCGGTTAATAAATTCAACTTTTCGTAATGGATAGCCTTTTAGGGAGAACCACCAAAAAGCATTTGAAACCAACAAGACATGCAAGTTTAAACTCACGACCTCTAATCTATAGAGTAGAAAAGCAAGATACACCGTGTCAAAACACTACAATACTTGAAAGACTTAATATCCCAGCGAATCAGTGAGAACAGGCGGCGGAAAAGGTGTTGTTGCTTAGGAAAAGATTTATGAACCGAGCACAAATACGGTCTTGCCGAGGAGAACATCCCTTAGTAGATATCCTATTGCCTTCAACTTATATATACCTTTTCTAAAACTATATACACAAATAAAGAACAAGACTGTTGCATGACCTCGCCATATAGGCAATGATACAACCATCCTACTGTTTCTGTGGAACTAAAAGAACATCCTACCCACAGGGTAGGTAGCTGCGCTGTGGACAAAATAATAGATACTGCAAACTAGGATTACGCTTTAAAGATTGTAGAAAAGGCCTATCAACCGCCTATTGACTATATCCACGGCCTATTATTTATATGTAAATACTATATTCCCACTTTGCACTGCCGGCCTTTCTGTCCAGGATGTGGTAGGGTGGTATATATCTTCACAGTTCCGGTGCTGGAGGTTAAGTTGCCAACATCAGCATGAAATACTCATCAGGAAATTCTGCCTATTCCGGACATCCTTCAAATTCCTCGTGTTCATCACCACAACAACCCCTAAAGATAAAAATGGTTGAAATGGCGGTGCTGACATCTAATGAAGGAATGATATTCATCAGACACACACCTGACCATGAAAATATGTCCTCCATCTCCCCCGTTCCATGAAAATGTATGATTATGACAAAAACTGGCACAGGGCGTTGCCAATACATGTGATGAATTCCATGATTAGTCCTCTATTCGCCAATCCAGGAACCTAAACGTCCGCAGAGGGAGTGAGTATGTGAATTGTCAAGCAGCTACGTCATATCTCCATCTGGAGATTTACTGGACTCTGGGAAATATTGAAGGCTGGAACCAGAATACACATTAACACAAACACGCGGCGGGAACCGAGAGCGAAGAGATGGGCAGAGAGTGATAGATTATGGCAAGGTGATAGAAACAGAACCCGTCTCCGTCACACGTGGCGCCAGAGTTGACAAGCCCATCAAGGACCATCTCCGTCACCACCGCGGCTTCAAGAGGATCTCCCTTCTCGCAGTAGCTTGCCCAATATCCCATCCCAGAAAGCCCTTTTGACCAGTTCACTTGAGGTGACCAACTGACTATGTCCCATATGTCACAATTCCACAGAAAAAGCCAGCACCGGTGCAGATTATTGTCGTTTCATTCAGCGTAAAATGGAAGGGATGGCCTTGGCGATTCGGCCGTCAAAACGATGAGGCGTGGCACGTTGGCACACACCCTATAGCACCACTGACGAAGCCTAGACTGCCAAAGCCGGGTATTTTTGTGCTTTCTTTTTCATCCATGCAACCGCATTGTCCATTGGTTGATCTCAGTTATTTTATGAGCTCCCAAGCCTGGGGACGCATAGTGTTTGTTAGATAGCCCATTGCCTATCCACCCAGCCACGCATATGAAGTCGATGATGCCCTGAACCACCGCGCCAATCTAAGATGAAATCGCATAAAGGACAAAGGTATGCATTTTGGTCACTATCTCTAGTAACCGAAGGCAGCAAGGGCCTCCGTCGTCTTGGAGTCGACCTTGGCGGTCTTCTTCGCCTCGGAAAGCTGTCTGGCGGCGAGCTTCTTGCGCTCGTAGTAGGCGGCGCCCTTCGCCTTGCGTCTCTCCTCGAGTCTGGAACAACAGTCAGTTCACGCCCTCCTATTTTGCTGCTGGCCTTTCGCCCGAGTTTCACCCACCTGGCAACAACATCCTGGTACTTCCAGCCAACCTCGTGGCTGAGACGGCCAACGGTGCAGTACTTGCGGCCGGGCTGGAGTCTGAGAACACGGAGGGCCTGGGGGACAACCATCTTCTTCTTCTTGTCATAGGGAGGGGGAACACCCTCGAAGACCTTGAGGCGCTCAAGGGCGGCGGCACCGCGGGCGGTCTTGTGGGGCATCATGCCACGGACGGCCTTGTAGAAGATGCGGGAGGGGGCGCGGAAGTGGAAGGGGCCTAGATATTGTTAGATTCGGCCGGATATCGCTGGTTTCGAGAGGAGTTCGACTCACCACCGCGGGTAGGGTTGAACCGGGTCATCTTGCGAAGGTAGGCATGGTACTTGACTGTGTCCAATCGTCAGTCAACTTGTTCGTCTCAGCAATGTCCTCCATCCTCTGATCCGGCAGCAGTTCCGTCTCTCGGCGCCTATCCTTCAATGCGCGCTCCCATGTCCCCCAACTGCTCCGATCGTCGGAAATCCCAATGCCATATCGATGA